TTTTCCCAAGTCCGTTTTCTGGGGACTTCAGCATTATTAATTTACCATTAAGGCATCTACTGTATATTCAAACTCCTAAGACTAAGTCATAATTATTAATTAAAATAAACAAATTTTAGCATATGGTCTATAACTATACGATTTCGGAATTGTTCATACCTGTGTTACCACCGTTAGAAGCCTTTTTACCGGCCACAATCTCGTTTTCGCTTCGTTGTTATTTGAATTTTCACTATAAAAATTGTCGTGCACAAATGGGGTGGTAGGACAAAGCCAGTTGACGAGATGTCGGCAGGTGGAATGAAAAATTCATGTGACTTCAGGAGAGAACTCGATCACAGAAATATCCGTTGCTAGCGTCGCACTCTACAACCGAGATGGCTCGGTAAGCGGGCTTATATGAACACCCCCTACTTTTCTCTTTTAAAAATGTATTTCAAAGTTTTTTAACTTTTCCCGCCCTGCGCATCACACCAGTGCTACGTCACAGCCAGAAACTTTACCCGGTAAGCGGGATAAAGTTTCTCCATATGAACAGAACAAAATTATTTGGCTAGTCGAAATGTTTTCTCGCTAACCAGGGTAACTTTTCCCCATATGAACAGGCCCTAAGAGATTATTGTAATACTATGATATCGGCAAGGTCACGGTTGAAAAACTCTAATGTTATAATTAATATAATTAATTTACATGTCATAATTGTGTTTTCTGAAGTTGGAATTCTTAGCGAATAATTGCAGTGTTACTAGTGCAAAACAGCGTTTAGCGTCTTTAATCTCAATTAAATTAACACAAATGATAATTTGCATTCGCAGGCACTATATGTTATATATTTACATTTCAGGGGAAGGAATATTACAATTGAATTAATTCCCAACAATGATGGTATTCACGAGTATCGTGGGATAGCACCGAACAGTAACGTTTGGCCTGCGGAAAGCGGAAACGCGTCCCAGAATAATGGTATGGTCTTATTTTTGATGCTACTAATAACATATATAGCATTTATATACCACGTTAACTTAAAAGATCCATTCTATTCCCAGACTGTATTTCACTGTATTTTCCGATCCATTTATTGTACTCCAACAAGTATTATATTTACTATCATTATGAATGGTATACCAAAGAATTGACGATGTGCTAACTTAAAGTGGTTTTGACACGAAATTTCACCCAATCGTTTCTTGATTGCATTGCAAAGATCACTTACAATGACCATATAACGTCTTTGGTAGAATACTTGTATAGCTCTCTTTCTTCTGGAGATATTCAAAGTTGTTTGTTATGCAAATATCATCAGTATCACATCACACTGCATAATGAGATTTTTGAAGAGCATCATTAATTTTGAAATTGGTTAAAATATTCTAGACACAGATACGGCGGCCTAATGATTAAACGACTTATGCACATATAAGCACAATTTTAAATATTTGTTATTCGGTTATCCCACAAGATAAACACTCTGTTATACCGAGAAACACGTTATTATGCAGTGTGATGCCACACTGATGATATTTGCATATAAAACAAAGTTGAATATCTCGGGAAGGAAAAGAGTTGCAAATATTCTACCAATGAGGCAGTGACTTGGCCAGGATTTCTACGGCAAGGGCCCCTGAAAAATCCAAGGAGGGGCCGAAGCAATTTTACCCTGCGTTAGTTCGAATAAATTTTGTTTATTATGTAAAAATGTATTTGGATTCCCAGGCATAATATAATACAATGAACGTTTAGGAGTTCCGGAGGTATGCTCCTTTCAGTAAGCATTTTAGGGACTATTTTATGGTGTTTTACCGATTTTAAATAACCATTTAACACATTTTAACTCTATTTAACTATATTTAATTACAAACGAATCCAGAACATTTAAAACATAGCAAGATATAAATTTCCATTGCAAGAAATGGAAATATAATGCACATGCTTCTACTGGTCAGAATGTTTCCAAGGGGCCCCCAATATTTTGCCGGGGGGGTTGTCTCCTCTGGCTACGTCACTGCAAATACGTTATATAGTCATTTTAATTTGCAATGCAATCAAGAAAAGATTGGGTGAAACTTCTTGTCATAAGCACTTTAAAGAGGTAACTTAAACTAACATGATGTGGAAATTAGTGAATTAACCTAACATTGTTTTATATATTATTTCATAGAAAATGACCAACTGCAAGAAGTTATGGAATACATATCCGATGCATTGCCGGATTGACACCACCAATAGAAGACCACTTCAATTTATGTCTGTTAAGCATAATGTGGATTACTGGAAGTTTTTTCTAATTGATACAAAACGACAAGTAGACATACATTAAAGACAAGGACTACAACACTATTTACATAACTATATAGAGATTATAATTGTTTTTGTTTGTGGAAACACCACGTAAATTTATTACTGCAAAGCTTTCGATCCGTAAGCCCGGATCTTCATCAGTGCTAATAATATGTGACTTGTTTAATTCACACGCTCTTTTTATATACAAGAGTGTCGTGATCTGTTGGCTCGGAAAAAAAAGAGCGTGTGAATTAAACAAGTCACATATTATTAGCACTGATGAAGATCCGGGCTTACGGATCGAAAGCTTTGCAGTAATAAATTTACGTGGTGTTTCCACAAACAAAAACAATTATATTTTATCGCCATGCAAACATTAAAAGAACTTATATAGAGATTGTTCAGAAGAAGACAATTCGGTATGCTAATGTTGCTGTTATAAAAATACTTATATTGAGTTAAATCATTTTTACGAGATTAATTAAACCAATAGCACAACTGCTTGCAAATAGCATAAATAGAGTGCAAATAAAATGCTATAGCTTGATGGTGCAGGTTTTCACATCGAACTTATGTCCTGTTGACCATACCGTCAATCACTGTTATATATTTTACAGCACATTTGTATGATTGTATATCTAATAAATAAGTACATTAATTATGTAGAGTATATAGTATTTTCACACTGTAGTATAGCTGTTTATATAGATGTAAATTTCATTACAAAATGTTGTGATAATTATAATGTAAATGCCAAATATTTTATTGATTTTTGTTTATTTGTACTTTGAAGAAAGCTGATAGTAAAATAACTTAAACGATCTCCTTGCCGTTCACATATAATATGACTCAACACTCTGAGGAATTTACTGATTAAAAATGTGCTGGTTCGTGCGTATCTTTGCTATACCAGATGCAAAACTCAGATGTCTAGTGACCCCTATAGTGTAATGCTACTTTAATTGTTACTATTACTGAATAACAAAATAGCCAAAGCCTGAGCATTATAGATAACTCCGCATATAGAAGTTCCATCTTGACCTCCATATACTTGGAAAAAAAAGGAAGCCAAGATTCAATAGTAATATCTCGAATTTACTACAAATTTATCATCAGACTAAAGGCTGCTTTTACACTACCAAAGATTCTGTGATCTCATAAAAATTTTGCATGAATTCTGGGTGAATTCTACGTTTTGAAGAATTTGTAAGAAATGTTTAACTCAGTGTTACAAATCCTAACACACTTCAAAACTATATAAAGTCTTCGAATTTAGCTGCGCAAATTCCTATACTGTAATGTTGTAAACCAGGCTTAGTCATAGTCTATCAAGGTATGATGGTCTGGAAACTATAACTGAAGTCATTCTGTTACGTTTTTGTTTGAGTTTAGATGTTAATTTGTGCACGGTCACGGTGATTGAGCACATTGTATTTTCGTAGAATTATAAAGTAACCGTCCAATAGGGATAGCTCAGATGAAACGATGAGTAATGTTTAATGAAGTTGAAACAAAGGATTTGTGTACGGTGAGGTACAATTCAACATCAAACAAAGGCCTTCTATTTTGTAACTTTAAAGTTTGTCGGGCTTCCAGACCATCATATCTTGACAGACTATGGACTAATTTACAAAAGCTAACCTATATATACAAACGTGATGACATTATCAGTACGCAGGAATGTTTCTCAAATATTGAGTTCAAGATGGAGTTTTCATCCATTCGGAGTTTGTTTCAGGTTTCAGTTCGTGAAGTTACTCAGTTGGTTTAAAGTTGACAGAGGCATAGAAAAGCCCAATGCCCTTTCCGCCATCTTAAATATATTGTTTGCATTTTTCAAGCCCTGAGATCGAACTCATTGAATTTAGGTAAAAGAAAACCTCTTGAGTATGGAAAAGAAAAATCTGCACTATCTAATAAATCAGATATATGCAAATTTAGTTATTCTGATTGCAAATATATTAATTTTACTTTCTCGTTTATATATTGACATTGTATGTATGTAGGCCTTCTGGAAGGAATGGAACCTGCCGCCCGATGTGTAGGATTCACACCTCTCACTCCTCCGCAGAGGCTTACATGAAGTTTCTACTTTCTAGTGAGGGAAAAGTGAGCACGCAAGGAGTGATGGGAAGAGCTAAATAAAAGAAGCCTCAGCTAGTTAATGCAATCAATATGGCGTCGTATATAATCGTTTGTAGTTCGGTTCGATCAACCATTGAGGGTGTTAAAACTTGTTTACCACTTTCCTTTTCAGGCGTACTTGAGTCTCCTGGAATGAATATCAATATCTTCTTCTGTCCATTTGCAAGTTTAAAAAAAGGTCAAACAACCAGTTTGGTTCAAAAACCATACTTCGTTGCATTATCTGGCAGAGCTTCCCCAGCTTCATTTCAATCTTCCCATCACACCGCGCGCGTTTATTTTTATTCAGGAAACTTCATGTAAGTTATTTGTAAATACTTAAGGAGGAGAGAGGGATTCACACTAAAAATTCCACCTACAAAACCTTTCTACAATTTTTAAAAATAGTTGGCTTGGATATAATTCACAAAAGCATTGAGCCTAAGTAGTTACTGGCAGAGGATTCAAAGAATATTAAATATCATCAAACATACAGAATATCATGTATGTTTCAGAATAAACATACATAATATTACGTGTTTAATATCACCAAACATACAGATCAATAGAACACATAATATCAAACATACAGAATATTGGAACACATTTCATCAAACATACAGAATATATTGTAAAATTGGAACATATAATATCAATACAACAGACTAATTCTCCTTTGCCTTGCGGTATAAACTCGACACTACAAGTAAACCAGCGTACAGACGCAATATATACGCTTCCGGAAAGTATGTCACCATGGTTACAAAGTCTAGCTCTCGTGACTGCGACGCTTGGCTCTAACTCAGAGCTCTAACTAATGTCACGAAAACGAGGCTTTATAGCCAAGGTGATGTATTTTCCAAAAGGGTGTATTAATTTAAATGTCGAAACATGTTACATTGTAAATTTATACACAAACCAAATACAGTATGTATTAATACATACATGCATGCATGCAAGCGTTAATAGTTGAATGCAAACTATGGTAGACGGAGGCCTGTTTCAAACGTCGCGCTTCTCATGTGCCAAACGCATTAAAAACAATAGATAATCAGCTGAAATTCCTCATTACTACACGCTTCCGGAAAGTACGTCACCTTGGCTATAGAGCCTCGTTTTCGTGATTGAGACGTGGACTTTAACTGATGTCACATACACGAAAACGAGGCTCTATAGCCAAAGTGACGTACTTTCCGGAAGAGTGTATTACCCATGGTTTCTAATGCATTCGGCACATGAAAAGAGCGACGTTTGAACAGGCCGAAGACACCAATGATGACGGCAAATAAACAAGTACGACAGTATGTTTATGTCAGCCCACATTTTACAAACTAGAAAGTGCATTTTTTTTGTATGACTAGTTCACATATACATACACGAGTCAAAGTCTTTCGTTGAGGAGTTTTAAAAGATTCTATGTACATGAGATGCCTGCGGAGGAGGCTAGAACATGTTAGTTCGTACTTTACAGACCAACAAGTCTAGGAAGTAAAGACGACTCTTTCAAAATCCAACTTTCACACTTAAACATATTAAACAGTTTCTACAGTTGCCTCTGCAGCCTGGCACTTGCTCTCGTGGAGTTTTAAGAAATCCTTACGAGCGAAGGTCATTTCACAACCTTGGCACTTGAACGGCCTCGCCCCACTATGGGTTCTCAGATGCCTCACCATGTTTCCATGTTGGGCAAATTTTTTATCGCACTGCTCACATTGGTACGGTCGTTCCCCCGTATGTACTCTCTCATGAAGCTTCAAGGCACTAGGTTGCTCGAACCATTTATCACATTGACCACATGGATGTGGCTTCTTGCGCATGGTTTTTGGTGGAGTGTTTTTGAATGGACTGACACTAGCTTGGATGCCGCCATTACTTTCACTTTCGGTTTGGCCGACTTGGGTTAAACCAACGAGCGCTTCGGCAATTATTGTAGAGGTTTGATTGACTTGGTCGTTTTCATCTGCTTGGGAAATTTGACCGACTGGAACGAATTGTCCAGCATGGGCAAGCAAACTGGCTTGGCCAAGTTCGGTTATAAGAACAAATTGGGACGTTTCAGGAAATTGGTTGGTTTCTGTGACTTCACTTGTTTCACCGGTGTCGGCAGTCGGATCCATTTCAGCGGGTCGGACCGTGTCACCAATCTGTTCAATATGAATAACATCACTCGCTGTTTGAACTATTTCATCGGTTTGCATCGGTTCATCCGTTCGACCGGCTTCACTAGTTGGAATAATTTGATCACCATGATGTGTTCCACCTGATTCATCAATTTGACCAGTTTGACTCGTTTCAATGGTATGATTTGTTTGATTCACTTGAGCTGTTTGATTTTCATTTTCTGCGCGACTGGTTTCATCCGATTGACTTGCTTCGCCAACATCACTAGTTTGACTGGTTTCATCCATCTCAATTGCTTCATCGACTTGATGAGTTTGACTTGCTTCGTCAGTTTTGCCAGCGTCACTCGTTTCATCAACTTGACTAGTTTGACTCGCTTCATCAGCGATGCCGCTTTCGTCCGTCTGACTAACATTACCAACTTGACCAGCCTGACTCGTTAGACCTGTTTGAGTTGTCTCGCCAGTTTGAATGGCTTCACTATTTTTACCAACTTGACTCTCTTCATCCGCGATACCGGTTTCACCCGCTTGACTGGATTCATCCGTCTGACTATCATCACGAACTTCACCACCCTGAGTCGTTTGACCAGTTTGACTCGTTTCATTATTTGAAATTGTTGGATTCGTTTCTAGGGCATCCTCAGGGTGCGTTTTTTGATGAGCTTGCAAATGATCAATACGTTTAAAGGTCTTTTCACAGACGCCACAAGTATGAGGTGTATTATCAGAATGTCGTTTCTTGTGTCGAATCATATTCCCGACTTGACTAAAACACCGTCCACAAACTTCACAAGAAAAAGGCTTCTCTCCTGTGTGTTTGCGCATGTGTTGTTTCAAGGAACCAGCTTGATCGAACGTCTAGGAAAAGAAACAACGATGCAGGTATAACTTACTCATCAAAAACACATCATCGTAAAGAAATCATAATTCCTAGAATGAAGGATCTTATTACCTGAAAGACAAATTTCACGTTTCGAAACTTACCTGAGTTCGTAGGTAACAAATTCATAAGAAGGGTCTTAGGCTTAGCTCAAAACGTCAAAGTTCTTTGCATATTTTTAAGGATTTGCGAAGCAAAATCCTTTGTCATCGGGTTTGTAAGATGTAAGATAGATAGATAGATAGTAACACGAATGACGTACGATAATTGACGTCGAGTTCCGAGTCGAGTATTCGTGAACCGCTGGAAGCTATTATCTGCCATTACTGTTTGTCGTTATATTCGCGATCTTTCGGGCAAATAACCCGCTTATTTTCGTAAAATACACCAACGACTAAACATTTTACCACTAATTTTGAGCTAAACGAAGGAATATATGACTGTTTTGTGCTAGAAATAGGAGTGGAAAAGGTCTTCGTTCAACTCAAGCCGGAGCGGAGTTTAAATTTAATATAAAATAAAAGGTGGTGTTTCCATTAAGAAAACTGTATTTGTTCCATTTTTCATTCGTATTCATTGGAAATGTAATTGCTTGTTGCGGAAACATTGAAACAAATTTGTACGGTTGTAGTCCAAAAGTTTGCTTTTAATTAAAAAAAGCTAAAATATCTTCAACATTTCTAGTTGTATTGAAGATTTTAAATATGTTGTACGTTCAGGAATTGGTTAGAAACGTTCAGGAATTGGTTAGAAACGTTCAGGAATTGGGTTTTGCAATTACAATGGATCAAAGAATGGATAAAGTCATAATGCATTCTGTTGAATTTAAAATTGTCAATACGTTCGCGTATTGTCAGTGCCAGAAACACAAACATGTGGTGGACTATGACAGTTTTTCTGCAGTACAGAACATTTTGTAGACTAAAACTTACAGAATACTTTCCTTCGGGAAAGCAAAAATTCCCTTTTGGGAACAAATAACTCCGTGTACATTTTAGAAGAATGCACTGCGGACATCAAGCATAAATGACTAAAAAAGATGCAAGAAAACATCTAATGACGAGAAATTTTAACACAATGGAGAAAATAATAGATGCGCAAATCCTTATGCACTCTTTGAGTGCCTATTTTTTAGATAGTTTGTGCATTGTTCGGGCATCTTACAAAGATCCGCGTTTTACATTTCCCGTCCAGGTAATTGTTTCACTCATTAATTTAACCAGCTAGTCAGGGAAGTCGAATTAAAAGTTATTGAAGTTTACAAACCTTATCGCACATGTCACAACGGTGTTCTTTCTTGGTCTTCGTGTGCGTAGTAACATGACGTATCAGACCTTCCGGATCACTGAAGCTCTTCTCACAAATAGCACATTTATACGGCTTTTCCCTGAGGTGTGTTTGCGCATGCTTCTCCAACGCCGCTGCATCTGGAAACTCCGCCTTACACTGCTTACATTTTGTCTCCGGGTGAGCCGCCTTTTTATGGGCTTTCAATTCTTTAGGCATTGAGAAGATTTCGTTGCATTCATCGCATGGAATTCCAGCTAGATTGGCTAGTGGATGAGCGCTTTTCTTGTGGTCTTTCAGATCTTTAGACAGCGTAAATACTTCTGAGCACTGGTCGCACGGAAAGCCATTCTCCGAGTGACTGTTTTCGTGAGATTTAAGAAGATCGGGTCGGTTGAAGGCTTTCTGACAAAATTCACATGTAAATGGTTTTACACCGGAGTGAGTCTTCTTGTGTCTCTTCAAGTTTCCCAGTTGAGCAAACTTCCTGTCACATTGGTTACACTCGTAAGGCCGTTCCCCCGTATGGATTCTTTGATGCACCTGAAGCAGAGAGAGAATGTTCTTATAACATGATTCCTCAGGACGTTTCAAACTTTATTTTAGCACACCAGAGGTGGAAATTGAGAACTTGGATTTAGGGCGCAAATTTTTCTGAAAAAAATTACAATAAATGGGGAAAAATAACAAAATTTGTCCCTTGTGACTGTCTTTAATACAGTGTTGTCGTGTGAAGCAATACGGCTTTAAGACTGGTAAAGCAATAAATAAGTAGTAGTTACAGTCTTACAGGATTAAAAACAAATTTCTTTAAACATGGCAAGCATTCTTTGAAATTTTTAGAGCCCATGCAGTCTTTGGTTTAAATTTTCGGCTGATAATCGAAATCTTACAGCATTAGCTACATTTAAGAAACCTGCAAGACAAAATATATTAAAAGCTATTTCATGGTAGACTGTCATCCCCCCAGGGCCAGTCGTTCCTGTGCCGGTGGAATCTCCTTGTTAAAGCAAATCGATTGCACTTTCCTAGTATGTAGGATTGGATTTGGTTCATTCAAACATAAACTAAGTTGATATCAGTACTGAACTAAAGTGTTGTGCATGTTATACACACCTTTAGAGAGCTAGGCAGGTCGAAGGATTTTTCACACACATCACACACGAAAGCTTTTATTCCGGTGTGAACTTTCAAATGTTTAATCAGAGTTGTCTGCTTTCTAAACCCCGCATTACAGGCTTCGCATTTAAATTCGGGCTCTTTTTCATGAGTTTTCTTGTGATTCAACATGTTTGTTAGCTGGGTAAAGGACTTGTCGCAGACATCACAGCAATGTGGCTTCACATCCAGATGAGTTTTCTCATGAAGTTTCATTATATCCATTCTGAAAGAGACCACACATTAACTCTCGACTTTGAAATCCGACTTCCGATGTTTATTTGTAAGTTCGGAATGTTCGTTGCAAAGTTCCGAAGTTTGTTGCGATGATTTCCGATGATCAAGTTTAGCAAAATGTAATTGGCTAATTAAATCAACCAGCCAATCAAATCGCCTGCTGTTGAATCATTGTAAGTCGCCAGAACGAACTTCAAAACGAATTTCAAAACTTCGCAACGAACATTCCGAAGTTACAAACAAACATTCAAAGTCAGATTCAAAAGCAAATTAAAATCGAGAGTAAGTCCAACATGTAATACAAATAAGATTTCTCATGCAGTTTCATACCACTTTGGAAAAAAATATCACACACTTTAAATTTGACTAGCATGCTGTCATGCCTCTGATACTGGCAGTATGAGATATGCAATACAGATGTGCAGTGGTGAAGCTAACCATCGCAACAGGTCATACTATGCCAAGTTTTTATGATTTGCAGTATTCAAACATATAGAAATGTATTTTATAAAATAACATGTGTATAACGCGTGCTCTGATTGGTCGAAACCCGTGTTTGGATCAGGCCATCCAACCACGGAAATTTAAAGTGAAAGTTTTTTAAAGTGAAATTTTAACACGGGAATGTTGTTCGAGTTAAGATGGCCGTTAAGATGGCCGTGTTTGGATGGCCTGATCCAAACACACGGGAATGTTGCTCGAGTTAAGAAAAGCGCGCAAAATCACTCGCCTTCGGCTCGTGTTTCGCGCGCTTTTCTTAACTCTGGCAACATTCCCGCGTGTTTGGATCAGGCCATCCAAACACGGAAACTATAAAGTAATTGTATAGTCTTTAACCTGCTCACAGTAGATGTAGGTTTATTAGCATAGCATAATCAGTTGCCACATGGCTAGCTTTGCTACTGCAAATCAAATAATCAGGGTATTTCAACGGCAGTGGGATACATGGGGGTTGGGCTGCAGAAAGGCTAAGGAAAGGGGTACTACCCTCACTACTTAGAGCGTCCTGATTAGTATAGGTAATCATGCGATGGCGAGTACAATTAGGGATTAATAGTACGAGTGATGTTTGGAAATTTTGCCAAAATTGCTGCTATTAATCCCTAATTGTACGAGCAACATCGCATGATTACTTGTTTATTATTAGCTTGACAAAATTGGATACAGCCTCTCAATGTTAACATCATATATTCTCTCGCCAAAGCCCAGTCCTGCCAGATTTTCAACCAAAATTTGGTGCTTTTGTCCGTATTTTCATTTAGTTCTTTTGTTAAAGCAAAATTTGGTGCTTTTGTTCGTATTTTCATCTGGTTCCTCTAGGGCAAATTCATTTCACGCTTGTGTTTAAAATACCTTTCCGCCATTTTGTTTGTTGTGGGAAAATCATTAATTGTACTGCAGTACAATTAATGAAATAATTGTACTCCTCTCAACCAATCAGCATCCAGTATTTTTGTCATGCTAATAATAAACTATATAAAAGCTTGAACAATTCGTGCCAGTGCAGGTACAGTGCCAATAAGAAAGTTCATATTGTATTTTTCAGGTAGATGTGTGTCCCTATCAAACCGCAGGTTTTTAAAATAAGAGCTTGTGTCTTGTTTTACACATATCTTATCGTACAATTACATATTTCACAAGGTCCATGATCAGTGCTGTATGAATGACATTGCTGTATACATTATCACAAGGACTAAACTCACCTACGAAAGGTCTTCTCACAAACGGTGCATTTAAAAGGAGCGTCTCCAGTGTGGGACCTCTTGTGTCTCATTAAATTTCCCTGTTGAGTAAAAGTCTTTGGACAATCTGGACAGTTAAATTTTGTTCCTTCAATATGGGTCCTTGCATGACGATTTAATGAACCTAGAGTTATGTATACCCAATATTAACATTTGGTGAAGAACAGAAAGGCAATTGCCTAGGGTGATGTGGTTCATGCCTTCATGGTAAAAAAACAAAATTCGTCTGGAAAAAACCCCAAAACACAAAATATATTTATGTATGTCAAAATATACTGGACAGTTAGATTAGACTTCAGGCCGCATGTTCAAGACTTTACTGGGAAAAGGATTAACAAGTAAAATCTGCTGGTTCTATAAAGAATAAATAATAATCTGGGGAATATAAATAATAAACAGAATAAATAATAAATATATAAAATAACAATGTGCACGTAGGTGAGGGTATTTCAGCTTTCCTTATAGCTACATTAATGGTTAAGTGTTATGAGAAATCAAAACACAGAAATATAGAAACAATATGAGGTTGGATACAATGGCCATCTCCGAGCGTCTGAACAAACTCTTCGAAACACACTTACCAGTGTGTGAAAAAATCTTTTCACAAACTTGACATTGGAAAACTTTCTTCTCCTTCGGTTGTTTTGGCTGTGATTGCGTTTGTGGTACAACTGCATAATTAACTTGTGCTTGTTGTTCGGTAGTTTGTGCTGCCTCGACACATGCAAACGTTGTTTGGTCCACTTGGGTTCCTTGCTGATTTGTTTCACCTGGAAATTTCATAAATATTATCCATAAACTACACAGGGTGCAATAATTCGCATTTGTCACATATCCGAGGTACCGGTAAGCTATATATTACGGTACGTAGGTATGCGGAGCTCTTGCTGTATCTGTGTACTTGCATTTCGATGATACCTACAATAGGACCTTACCAAGCCCAAGAATTCAAATTTCAAAACTGTATATACATCGTGGTATATACAGTAGGTGAAACAGGACTGGATAATTGATGGGAATGCTGAAGCCAATTCCAGAGCCTGAAATAATTTTTAAATTTGTCCGCCAAAACTTCCAAGCAAAATGAAATTTGACCGGAAATTTTCAAATTTGGTCGGAAATTTTTTAGTTTAGTTTGATCGCCTCCGTTGAGTAAATTATGTCAAGCATGCAGTAAATCACTCTACTTGTAATAAACAGCCTATTTAACTGTCCCGATGAAGGGCCTTTGCTCGAAACGTCGAGGAAACGCATTCATTATCTTCCAGGTCGTCAAATTAACAACAATGAAAGCAGTCACTCTGACTCGTATAACTCATGCACTGACACACATTTAAGTTAACTAAACTTTGTTTAAAGCATACTCTGATCGAAGAAACTTTGATAACTTTCCAGTTGATTACTCTATATAAGACTAGTATAGATAATCTAAGACTATAGATACTGCACTCACTGTGCTGAGCGCCGACCCGATAATTTAAAAAAAACAGATTATCATTTTTTTTCAACATTTGTCCGGACGAAACTTCCGATCATTTCAGCATTTGGTCGGAAAAACTGGAATTTGGTCGGAAAACCGCCGACCGTTATTTCAGGCTCTGCAATTCTAGTGTTTTGTGTAATTGTCATCCTTCTCGTTCTAACTTGTAGTTTCAGGTTATGAAATGAATACCTTTCAGAAACCTGTACTTTATGTACATCATTTCAAAGAGTAAGTACACCTTGAGTCTTAAGTTTTTACCAGCAGCTTTCTGGTGTTATTGTCACCTATGCTGACACAGAACGTTTGATTGTATAAGTATACATGCGCTCATAATTAAAATGGGGATAAGGCAACTATGGGGCGTTTGTATGAGACTGGGAACGGGTCAGTGCATTTTTTAAGGATTCTTCAGCAGTGGGGCAAAACTGCCAAAGGGCCCATTTTCCATGTCCTCCCCCCATGAAAGTATGCGATCGCTGAAGGTGTGAGCCAAGTAACGCAGGCTCGAGTTACGGAGTTAGCCAGGGGGGTCTGGGGGCCATGACCCCAAGAACATTTTTAAAATTCGGATCTCTGAAATAGCATTTCCTGCATTCTGAGCACATTTTTTTTTTTAAATCTCAGCTTCTCAAAACAAAGTTTTAATGGTGAAATTTGTAATAAATTGCATGCTAAACATTCAAACACAACATATTAAGTTTAAGTATATGCTCACCAACAAATTTTGTTTTTTAAACTTCTTTTCAATGTTAAACTCATGCATTTACTCAATGTAGGTCATAGGGCCCTGGCTTTGGGGCAATAGGTCATTGTTTTTCTTCAGTGGTGGGGCAGAGGAAGGAGCACAGTGGGGCAAATGCCCCCACCAGTTCATGGTATTAAAAAATGCCTTGGAACTGGGCTGGCTTTTCCTTGCCGGTTTGCGGCACATGAGCGAGGCAAGGTGCTGACATTGCAGGCCAGCATTTTTTTTCAATTTCAAATTTATTACAAAACAAATATTCAAAATACAAGTTACACACTACACTAACCCACAAGTAGTTAAAAACTAATCTAGGCGGGTATAGTGTTGATTACAAATACATAGTAGTGTCGAAAAGATACATAGTAGTGTCGAAAAGATACATGCAGTATTTGAATGTAGTGATGAACAGCAATTCTAATTGTTTGATTATTATACAAAATAGAAAGAAAATAAAATAAACAACAATTAAGGGCCTAAGAAGAAAAATATTTTTATTAACTTATATGTTTTATCTTTGTTATTATCGTCGTGACATCAACATAAACACCCTCGCTTTCCAAGACCTGGAGAAGTATTGCATTTATTTTTGTTTTAAAAATACATTTACGTCGGTTCCGTAATTCATTAGGGATACCATTCCAAATTTTAGTTCCGAGTCGAGAGAATGAATTCTTTTTTTTATTCTGATTCGACTGCTAAATAAAATAATTTCCACCAATTGCAGATCTTGTGTTGTGACTATGTAATATCTGGTTTACATTTGTAAACATTTTAATAGGTTTTGTGGTGCTAAAGTATTGACTATGTTTTGCATCAAAATACGCATAGTTTTATAATAGAGCTCAGCATTCTTAGTATCGGCAAATGGCATTTACAAATAGTGGTATGGCATGTTCTCGGCCTAACTGCGGAGTTGGTCAGAATCACCCCCAGGATTTTTTTAGGGAAAAGTTTTAGCACCCCTGGGAGGTGCTCAATATAAACAATTTTCAAACTCAAATCTGCCACAGATCCCTAAATTTCATTGTGTTTAAATTAATACCTATATAATAAGAGGCGGATCTAGGGTTATCAGATTAGTCACGCGAATAACGTAAAAAAAGGCATATAAAAAAATTTGGATCAAGGTTTTTAAAAACTATTTCCAATGCGCAAAGCCGCAAACACTTCCCTTATTTTGAATCACACAATCAAAACTCTATCACACTCCAGCATGCAAACTTCGATGAGTTTTTGCGTATTGAGCCAGTGATTGATTAGTCAAACCAAACGATAAGTCAAATAAGCGGTTTTCAAATGAAAATTGACTAATCTGCGTTTTAGTTCATGTAATTTGATTGGCCAAATTTGCTCCGACTACACATAACAGGCGTATTGATTGGTCAAACCCATTTGGACTAACGATTGCAAAGTTTTGACTAAAGCATGCAAATTTCCGACTAATCGTGCAAATAGATATAGCAGCTTGTGATTGGACTATTTGCGCAAAAGAGTTAAAAAACATCTCCTCTGATTGTCTGCCTAATCTTCAATTTGGAAGCATTGTGCACTTGGTAGCTCTCTGCAATTTTACAAGGGGGATCCCAGTTGGATACTGAGAAAGTTGGATTCTCAGGGGGGATCCCAGTTGGATACTGAGAAAAAATATAGATTTCAGACCCTGATTCATAATATTTATGTGTTATAAATATTTATTTATTGTATATTTCTAGCCGGCTGGCCAGAAAATTGCAAATACATGCTTAGCGCATTGATTGACTGACAATAACTCTACAAAATTAATATACTTTATAAAGATAATAATAATTAATATAATCTTTGGTTATATTTTTAGATCTGATCCAACTGGCAATTGCCTGTATAGCTCTGTTTTCTTAGCATGGACAGGTACCAATGGCCTAATTTTACCTTCATTTGATAGTTTAAATGTTTATAGTACAAGTGTGAAAGGTCTATTTGGGCACTTATAGGACACTAAAAGACTATACGTGAAGTATTATGGTTGAAGACCGCTTGGCCATGATGCAAATTCACCAGGAAATTATTCCTAACATAGGAAATGTTATTGATAAATTTTCTGTTGGGAACACAAGGTTAAATATCTCGGCTGGCGAAAAGACCACTATCGCCTCCAATAACAATAACCTCACTCTTGTACACAACACTGACATGAGAAAAAACTTCCTGGGGTAACTTTATTGGAACTTCCTCTCATTCTGTATCATCACCAACCAAACTTAGCCTTTCAAGAGTATCACCACCTTCCCATAATTATCCCCCCCACAAACATTCGGCCTTTGTAGACACCTTTGCTTCACCCCTCCTATTTTGTGTGAAAGTCTTTAACCCTAACGCCTAACCAGGGTTTTTTCCAGGATTTTCTCTTGGGTCCGTTTTTGTAGAGAAGATTGAGTTTAGCTGAACAGTTGGGGTGGCTGCACCCCCCCCCCCCTACCGGGGGGGCTGACACCTGTACTCAATAAATGTAATTGAGATGGAATGTGTTAAAACAGGGACACTATAAACTGGTTAAAGATGGCTTGTCGGGCTTCCAACTGAAAACTAATTTCCACACGTCACAACATTTTATAACTCAAACAACTTCATTTGCACTGAAACTTTGGTGAGAAGATTGAGTTTCAAAACTCAATTCAAGATTGAGTTTTTGGGGCCGTTTAACAGCCCTAAAAAAATCCCTGAAAAAACCCTGTTGAAGCTCGCTCAGTGGTGCCGCTTGCACCCCACCAGAAATATTTCTACTCCTCCTTTAAAAAAAATGAAAATCCGCCCTTGCATGAACCAGTTAAATTTTTCAACAGACAAACTCCACGTTGCCAAATTCGGGATTTTAAGAAAAATATTGGTCGGGAAGCGAGATTTTATTCCATCACGGGAAGTGGGATTGATAAAAATACCATGGCGATATGCGGGAAAGTAATCCACGATTAGCTGGATAAATCAACAATGTTGATTGTGTGCTTGAAATTTGGCACCCATCGACACCCCCCCCCCCCCCACATTTACATGCATGATTGCGGCTTTCATAAGAGCCATGATTTAGAATCATTTATTATTTTAAACTTTGTTGTATTGTATTCTAGTGTATTCAAATTGTATTCTATGTCATCACCATGTTCTTTGAATACTTGGTTATCTATTGTCTACATCTAAATCATAATACGTTGAACAGTGTTAGAAAAAAAGCCAGGAGCGAGTTGGATAACAGGATTTGAAGTGAAAATCAGTCGGGATTTCGGAACCCGGTACAGGCCCCTCAGTATTCCTAACCAAACTCCTTTTGCTGTGGCATAAGGTGTGAAGGCA